CCCCCCCCCCAAGCCGGTGTCATTGTACTATGGGCAGCTCTGGGGGCTCTTAGCCTCCCCGTCACCGGCAAAACCTCGGTGCCCAATTGCCCCTGGCTGCACAGCTCCCAGTACCCCCTGCCCTGGTGCCACTGGTGTCACTGGGGCGGAGATGAGGATGAGGGCAGCGTGGGGTCCCCGTGTCCCTCCAGTGCAGTGAGCCCAGGTCAGCAGGTGTCTGGACGGGGGCAGATCTGGGGGTCCTTCCCCCACCATGGGGACCCTGGCTGGGGGTCCCCAGTCCCCCCCTGTGCTGGCCCCCGGGGTGACTCCCTCCTCTCTGTGTCTCTCTGCAGTTAAAAAGGCCAAATTTGACGGGCCCCAAGGTGAGTGGCCCCATCCAGGGCAGTGGGTCTGGGGCAGGGGTCTCATTTCATGGGCTGGGTGGTGGCAGGGGGGTGCCAGGGCTGCTCCCAGTTCCTGGTCCCTTCCTGGTCCCTATGGGGGGGGTCAGGGGTTGGGACTCCCGTGGACACTGGGAAATGGGGCCGGTGCCGGCGGGGACCCCTCGTGCCCCAGCAAGGACTGGCGTCACCCTTGGCTTCTTCCCGCAGAGAAGTTCAACACCTACGTGACACTCAAGGTGCAAAATGTCAAGAGCACAACCATCGCGGTGCGGGGCAACCAGCCCTCCTGGGAGCAGGACTTCATGTTGTGAGTGCCCCCCCCCCGGTCCCCTCCTCACCCTGGGGCACCCTGGGGTCCTGCAGAGCTGCCGGCTTATCCTGGGTTCCCGCCTTCCCCGCCACGGAGCATCGGTGGGAGCTCCGTCCTGGGAAGGGTGGGAGATCTCCAAGCCCCCCAGGGCTGAGGTCCGGAGTACGGGGCTGCAAGGGGGCAGGAGAGGGGGTCCCTGGGGACTTGGTGGGTTGGGGGGTGACCGCGTGCCCTTTCTCGGCAGCGAGATCAACCGGCTGGACCTGGGGCTGACGGTGGAGGTTTGGAACAAGGGGCTTATCTGGGACACCATGGTGGGCACTGTGTGGATCCCCCTCCGGACCATCCGGCAGTCCAACGAGGTAGGCAGCAGGGGGGCCGTCCCCAGGCTGTGCCCCCCCACCCTGGCCCTGGCTGCCCTGGGCTTTGAGGTGACCATGGGGACCAGCCTGGGCTCGTGCGGGCGGCCTTGGCATGGGCAGTGCCCCTGAGCCCCCTTTGCCCCTGCAGGAGGGTCCCGGGGAATGGCTCACGCTCGACTCCCAGGTCATCATGACAGACAATGAGATTTCGGGCACCAAGGACCCCACCTTCCACCGCATCCTCCTGGACACCCGTTTCGAGCTCCCGCTGGGTAGATACCAATGCCCGCATCCTCCCCCAGCCTAGGGGTGCTGCCAGGGCCCACCCCGGGCAGAGCCAGGCGGGATGTGCTGGGGACCTGTCCCGCAGACCAGGAGTCTGTCCCCTTGCAGATATCCCCGAGGAGGAGGCCAGATACTGGGCCAAGAAGCTGGAGCAGCTCAATGCCATGCGGGACCAGGACGATGTAAGCGAGGGCCGGGGGACTGGGGACTGCGGGGGCATGGGGCACATCCCACCCTGATCCAACACTGTGTCCCCCAGTACGCGTTCCAGGAGGAGCAGGAGAAGCCTCTGCCCGTCCACGGCTCCCAGTGCTGTAAGTGCCTGGCATGAGGCCACCGACCCCACAGCCTCTCCCGCTCCCGTGGCTGCCCTGGTGTCACCTCCGTCCTTATCATCTCTGCCCCTTTCCTTTGCAGGCAACTGGAACTATTTTGGCTGGGGAGAACAGCAAAGTGAGTATGCGGGGGCTCTCCCCGGTTTGCTCCGCCATGGGACTCGCTGTGTCCTGACTTCAATCCTGTCTCCCTTCCCTGGGCTCTGTCCCTATGGGCTGTCACCCTCCCCATGCCACCCAGCCCCAGCCCACGGAGCAGGGGCGGTGGCAGCAGCAGGGCTGTCTCAGCTCTGTCCCCATCACCACCTGCCCTTTTGCAGATGATGACCCTGACAGCACCGTGGACGACCGGGACAGCGATTACCGCAGCGAGACCAGCAACAGCATCCCACCGCCCTACTACACCACGTCGCAGCCCAACGCCTCCGTGCACCAGTACCCTGTGCGGCCGCAGCAGCAGAGCTCCCGTGACTCCTACACCGACTCCATGCAGAGCTACGAGATGGACTATTCGGACCAGCGCCCCATGAGGTAGCGCTGGTGCCCGGCCCCGGGGACACCAGGGGACACCGCTCTGGGGCAGAGGAGGACGGAGCGGCAAGGAAGAGGGGCAGGAGGGGACACTGTGTGGGCATGCGGGGTGTCCCTGCTGCCATCACCAGCGATCCTGGGGGTGGGGGATTCAAAAGGCAGAGATGTTTCCGTGCTCCGTGGGGTCTCCCTTTCAAGTCCATCCTTGCCGGGAGGTGGCCGGGCTGCAGCAGAGCCGCAGGGATGCTCCGTCCCCAGCGCTTGCAACCCGAGCGCGCCGCGGCGAGCGCGCGCTGGGACCCGCTGACCGTGTTCCTCTCCTCCCCGGCAGACGCTACGGTAGCGTAGACTCTGCCGCCCCCGGGCGCAGCGAGGCTGTCCGCTTCCGAGTCGAGCAGGCGGACCAGCCGCCAGCACTCCCTTGAGAGCAGGCGGTCCCTAGACCTATCGGATAGGTGGGTCCTCCCTCGCCGCGTCCGTGTGCCGTGCACAGTGCCGTGCTCCGCTCTCGCAGCCGTGGTGAGGCCAACACCAGTCCCGGCAAGGGTAGCCCCGCTCTGCCGCTGCCCCGGCCCAGCCTCGGGGTTTTTTTGAACCTTGGCAGCAAGTCTGTGGGGGAACTTCCTCTGCATCCCCATCTCCCTTCTGTGCTGGCCAGCCTGGATCATCTGAGCTCACAGCTGGATTGCAAAAGCAGCAACACGTTTCCCACATCTGAGCAGGCAGCAATTGCAAAAGCAGAAACCCTTTCCTCATTTCTGAACCAGGAGCACCTGCAATGCTCCAGCCCCTTCCTCACATCCAACTAGGAGCAATTGCAAAGCAGCAGCCCCTTCCCCATGTTACGGCCAGGAGGAATTGCAAAAGCAGCAGCCCTTTTCCCATTTTCAAGACAGGAGCAAGTGCAAAGCAGCAGTTTCTTCCCCATGTCCGAGCCAGGTGCAATTGCAAAAGTAGCAGCCCCTTTCCCATATTCAAGGCAGGAGCAATTGCAAAGGGGCAGCCCCTTCCCTGCAGTGCACAGGGCGGTTACACGGGCTCGTCCTGCGCCGGCCGGGGAGCCCTGGGCTCTCCCTGGTGCTGGGGTGCCAGCAGGAGCCGCGTCTCCTGCTCCCTCCCCAGGACTCCTTTCCTGAGTGCCCCATCCTGCGGCTCCTGCCTGCGCCCCCCTCCCTGGCACCCACTGTCACCCTCCAGCACTCTCCTTCCCGCTGCGTATCCGGAGCCGTCCTGTCCCGGGCCCCGGCTGCCGGTGCTGGCGACGTGGGGTCGGCCTCTCCCCTGGCTTGTCCCTGTCCTGTCTGCATGCGCGTTTCCGTGAGCATCGTCGTGCAGCCCCGCGCGCTCGCCCGGCCCCGGCCCCGGAGGAGGGAGCAGGATGAGGAGACCCGGGAGCTGGCAGGGAAAGCGGGGAGGGGGAAAGCGCTCTGGAGCTGAGCTGGGAAGGGCACATGTGGCGATGGGGATGGCTGGAGGGGTTCCGGGGGTGCCGGACGCGGGGGAGCTCCCCATTGCCTCTGCCGGCATTCCCGCGCGGGGATCCATCCCTCTTCCTGGGACCGGCTCCTTCACCCCCCCCTGCCGCTGCGGCGGGCTCCCGGACGCCAGGGCACCCTGCTCAGCAGCGTGCCTGTGTCCCGCAGCCCCACAGGCAGCAGCCGCTACGCATCTTCGGCTGAGCTCAGCCAGGGCAGCTCGCAGCTCAGCGAGGACTTCGAGAACGAGAGCCTGCGGGACTCGGAGCTCGACGAGCGCGACGGCGACTCCTACCACTCGTGCCACAGCTCCGTCAGCTACCGCAAGGACTCACCGCGCTGGGACGAGGAGGAGGAGGAGGAAGAGGAGGATGACCTCTACCTGGAGGAGGAGGAGGAAGAGTTCAACGAGGACTATAGTGAGAATGAGGAAGGCTATGCCAAGGAGGAAGAGGAGGAGCTGCGGGAGCGGGAGGTTTATGAGTCGCAAGCCTTGGCGCAGGACCCCTCCCCCGCAGCAACACCGAAAGCGCCCGGGCAGCAGCAGCCCGTCCCGCAACAGCCGCAGCCGCCACAGGAGAGGAAGGAGGAGAGGAAGGAGGACAAGGATGCGGCTGCCCCCCAGGAGAGCCCCGAGTCCCTCCTGGCCCAGCGGGCAGAGGACGAAGCCCCTGCGCCCGAGGCGGCGCCTGAGCCCGAGCCCCCGAAAGCCGCCGAGAGGTAGGAGGGACCGGGAGGGAGAGCGGGTCCCAGCGGTGCCCACGGTGCGGACGCGACCGAGGTCAGGGGGATGTCACCATGCAGGGGTCACCAAGCACCTTGTGCCATGCCTGGAGCACTGGGCACCGTCCTGGGCTGAGCGGGTGAATTACTTGGTGGACGCATCCCCACTGCCACCAATAATTTGGGGTCGATCTTGATCTTCTGTTATTGAGAGGCTCTGCCTGGAGGGGATGTGGCTTTTTCAGGGTTTTGGTGGGGCTTAAATTACAGCCCGGAGTCAGGGGAACCTCTGATTTAAAAGAACTCATAGTGAGAGAAAAAAAAAAAAAAACAACCTACATGTTGAGGGCTCTGTGCAGGTGGCCTTGCTTTGGGTCCACCAGCGCCTCTTCCCCGAGGCTGTGATCACAGATTCATGTCATGTCAGGAGATGGGGATATTCTTTCCTCCATTTTTCCCTCCGCCAAAAAAGAGGAAAAAGAGGGAAAAGAAAAAACACATCCAGGTTGGAGGGGCATCCCCGAGCCATCTCCTTGCCCGCTCCAAGTGCGCTTCCTGGCCGCCCTCTCCGCGGGGACATTCCCGGCTGTGATGGGGCTGCGTGTGCTTACAGGGAGGAGGCGGCGGAGGGGCAGGACCCCACGGCGCG